ATATGTATATGTATGTATGTGTATATATATGTATGTATGTATGTGTGTATGTATATGTATATGTATGTATGTGTATATATATGTATGTATGTATGTATGTATGTATGTATGTTTAAATATTTATTGCACTAACTGATTTTTTTGTGGTGCAGCAATCAAAATAATATGATATTGTCAATGGGATAATTGTTATAGGTTTTCTTAAAAATGAATCCTAGTTGGAGTTGAATGAAGCCTAATGTGTGAAGAAGTAACACTGAGAGATTGAAATTAAGAGAATGTCTGTGCTTCTGAGAATGCAGAACTAGGTCTCTCAGGAAACCTTGACCTATTTCTTGGCTTCAGATGTTTGCTTGTTTATTTTTAAAAGGAAATCAAGCTCTTGAGTTGATTCTCCCAGGAACTAGTCACATTTGTGCAAGAAATGCAATAATGGTTGGACTTGACCGACCATCCTAATGGTTTAATGTGTTCCCAGGCAACTATAGCCTATTCAATAAACCATCATTAAACCAATCATGCAATGTGTGAACTAAGGTAATATTATTTGGAGAGCATCTAGGATGCAACAGATGGACATTGGGAGACAGCCTTCTTCATTGTGATGGGATGGTTCAATTTCTTCTGAGTTTTTTCTGATATCTTAAAAAACCCACAATTATCAATTAATCTAGTTTTTTATAATCACAAGATATCTCCCACCACCCCACACTTTGTTTCAGGACTTTACAATGACACTGTATTTGAGACATTATTGGAAGGATGAGCGTCTCTCCTTTCCCAGTTGTACGAACAGGAGCATGACTTTTGATGGACGGTTGGTAAAGAAGATCTGGGTGCCAGACATTTTCTTTGTCCACTCTAAAAGATCCTTCATTCATGATACCACCACTGACAACATCATGTTGCGGGTGTTCCCAGACGGCCATGTGCTCTATAGCACGAGGTAATCCCACAGTTATTTCTATATTCTTCCTCCAGTATTGTAATTCAAGCAGATCTTTGTTTCATGAACAGATTTCAAATATGAATATGTGGCTTCATGTATTACTGTATTTGTCCTGTCCTCCTTATACGTTAGTCTGTGTGCAGCTCGACCTGCAGCTAAACCCACCTATCCTCCAATAAAACAGATTGTGTGTGCTTAGATCTGAATGCTTTATTGAAAGAACAGGATATGGTGAAACTGGGGAAAAGAGGAATACATTCAATGAGAACCAAATACAAGATTACTGCTGAACATAACAATTGATAAATATAAGCAATTTAAATCTCACCAGCGATGCTCTGTGCGTGAGATGTGGGTTTGTCCTTGGAGGACCATGTGCCACAGATTAAGATGGATTTTTCTTGTGCTTCTGCCTTCTCCAAATGCTAAAGGAAATGCAGTCTGGCTTCCCAGCGTGCACTTGTTTTGAGAGTGCGGGCTAATGGGTGGGGTCAGCTTCAAACAATATATTTGGTATTTGTCTCTCTGGACACTAGATGGGGCTAGAGAGCAACAGCAGTATATAAAAGTTATATGCCGGGGCAAGACAGTATTTATCACATGGCTATAGCTCCTCTTTTGTTATAACATCAACTCTTATTTTAATACATGGATTCATTCATATATTACTCTATTACCGTATTTTTTGGAGTAAAAGATGCACCTTTTTCCCTTCAAAAAGAGGCTGAAAATATGGGTGCATCTTATACACTGAATACAGCATTTTTTGTCTCTTGAAACCCCACCCCCTTCACCAAAATGGTCATGCATAGCCTTTAGGAGGCTGCCAGAGTGCTACTGGGAGCTGGGGAGGGCAGAAATGAACTAAAAACAGACTGTTTTTTGCTCAATTTTGCCCCTCCCCAGTCCCCAGGAGCCACTCTATAAGCCTTCTAAAGGCTATGCATAGACTCTTTTTTTTTTGGACAAAAAACAGGCCCGTTTTCGCAAAAAATGGGCAGGTTTTTTGCTTGTTTTTTGGGGGGCACCCCCAGGAGCACTCTACAACCTTCCCAAAGGCTATTCATGCCCCCCATTTTTTTTTGAAGAAAAGGGCCCATTTTCATGAAAAATGGGCCATTTTGGGGAGATCTTTAGAGTGCAAAAACCTTTTTTTTTAATTTGCCTCTTTGTAATGACATCAACTCTTAATTTTTTATATTTCTAGGATCACAGTGACAGCAATGTGCAATATGGACTTCAGCCGTTTCCCCCTAGATTCACAGACGTGTTCATTGGAGCTTGAAAGCTGTCAGTAGCTTTTATTTATCTTTTGGTGGTAAAACTACAGGGATAACAAATTAAACAGCAGTCAATCTGTTGACTTTACTGATATCCATTATTTCTGCTTGAGCTGGTTACTTCTGTGCTTTCAGGCAGAGCCAACCTACAGTATCCATTCTTCTGCCTTTAAAAAATACACTATTTCCTCTGCCTTTTCATGTTCAACGAGCATTAAAAAAGATGTTTGTGAACGGGAAACTCATGGAGTGCTTTTAAAAAAAAAAAAGCAGGGAGTGCATTGGGGAGACCATGTCCAGTAGATTAATGGGACTCTGATTTTTTGGACTACTTTCTCTTTGGAGAACTACTTTTGTTTCTCTTAACTGCATGAAACCCATTTGAAGCTTTTTAATGTAGTTTTCATTTATTTCCAACCTCTAAATTTAGAAAATCAGTGTACAGTGGGGTAGTCTGATGGGTTTTGGGGGAGTCACAAAACACATGGCTCTATTTAATTGTCATATTTCATAATTTTGCTGCTGACTGGTGAAATAATTACTTTACTGTTTCTACATCTTACCTTTGCAGATGCATATACAGATGAAGATTTGATGTTATACTGGAAAAACGGGACCGAATCTCTAAAAACAGATGAAAAGATTTCCTTGTCTCAATTCTTGATTCAAAAATTTCATACAACCTCCAGACTTGCTTTCTATAGTAGTACTGGTATGGCAAGAACATTTCACTCCATTCTTTCATTCTTTATTAATTTTTTTGACTATATTTCCTCTGACAAACTCAGGCAGCCCACTTAGTCTTCCAACTACACTTTTTAATTCTCCCAACTATCCTGTGCAGCACATAGTATTAGAGGTAACTGAGATACTGAATTTTTAAAAGTCTCTTAAGTGAGCTTCATTGCTAAGTACATATTTAAATCTTTGATGCCGGTACAGAATTTTAAAAACAACATCACTGTGGTCTTGTGTTCTCTATTCAGACAGTTGCTTAGGGAAAGTAAATAAAGCATCTTGTGTAAACCAATGATCAAAATTTATTTAATCATAATTTAAAAGCTTCTTTGCTGTCTCATCTAATATAGCTGTAATAAGACTTCCTAACATTCTCTCATGTTATTTACAAAATGAGGTAGATATTGTTAAAGCAGCATATATGATTTTTTTTTAAAAAAAATCAAACACACTTTCTGTATAATTCAGGCTTCAGAGGAAAAGTACAAAAAGACAGTAACTTTCTTTTTTTTTATAAATGTTTTTTTTTATTTTTGTTACATAGACAACATATACACACAACAATAGAAAAAAAAAGAAAGAAGAAAAAGAGAAAAAAACACACACAAAAGGGGGGGAAAAAGCCCATCATCACATTCAGTATGTCGTTTGGTTACAGGTGTTTTAACATTTATCATTCTTGTACATTTATTATTTCATTTAATAGGTTATAATTTAGTATCGTTTCTTATTCCCCTACCTGTGGCAATCCATCCCAACTACATTTCCCCCCCACACACACACCACGTATCTCTCTGTTATATATATATTTAATACACACAATAAAATAAAAATAAAAGAAAAAAAAGAAAAAAAAGACAATAACTTTCTTGAGAAGACATCTCTCCAGATACTACAGAATTACAACTATCAATGCCTTCACTATTGAACTGGACTTTCTTGTTTTTTCTTTGAAGATGTCTCGCTTTTCATCCAGGAAGCTTCTTCAGCTCTGACAGGATAGTAGGGAACGGAAGGATCTATCCTGTTAGAACTGAAGAAGCTTCTTGGATAAGAAGTGAAACATCTTCAAAGAAAAAAACTTTGGGACAACCATGACTTGGATGACTGAGAGTCTCTACAGACTTTCATTATTGAGGAACTTGCTGGGGCAGCTAGGCTGTGTAGTTCAGCATTGTTTCCCATTTTTTATGGAAGATACTTGGTTTATAGCAATAAGATAAAAGTTACTGTATTTTCAGTGGGGTGTTCAGCATCATTGCCCTGTTATAGACAGCATCATTGTTACAAGGAAAAATACAGTACTTAAATTCTCTCCTCTTTCCTCCCCCTTCCCTCTCTCTTTCTCTCTGTCTCTCTCACACCTACAACTAGTCTTATCAGCATTTTTATTTTCTTCCTTTTGTATTCTTTCAATCTCTCTCTCCCCTCCCCCTTTTCTTTATATTTTATCTGTGTGGCATTTAACATGCCTTTTCTAATGACTGCTCATGTTTCTGCTCACTTCACATTTTAACATTTTTCTTCAATAGGTCGTTACAACCGCCTTTACATTAACTTTATTCTACGTCGCCATATTTTCTTCTTTCTGCTCCAAACGTATTTTCCTGCCACGTTAATGGTCATGTTATCCTGGGTTTCCTTCTGGATAGACCACAGAGCTGTGCCTGCAAGAGTGTCATTAGGTAAGAGGTTCCTGTCTAGACACGTAAAATATGGCATGACTGTTTCTTACAACATAACTCATTTAGAAAATCATATGCATTCATTTTGATTTCAATGTCTTAAGATTTTTATTCTAAAACTAAAATAGGGCAAGGTATGCAAAAGTTATATATTATGCTTTGTCTTCCCAGAAATAAAAATATACCATATTTTCCAGAGTATAAGACGCACTTTTCCTCCCCAAAAAGTGGATAGAAGAGTCTGTGCATCTTATACTCTGAATATTGCGGTGGGGTGGGTGGGAGGGGGGCTGGTGCGACAACGATCAGCTGTTTTAGAATGGGCAGTGGGGGCGAACAGGCCGTGGTGAACAGGCAGCGGCAGTGGCGAATGGGCTGTGGGGGCGAATAGGCCGTGGTGGTGAATGGGCCACAGCAATGAATTGGCCACAAGAAGCGGGCTGCAGCAGCAAATGGGACTAGGACTCTTCTCGTACCCTTCGCCGCCCCTTTTTCGTCCCCAGGTTTCCGCCCCCAACCATTAACCTCTATCATCTCGCCTCCGCTGTTAGGACTCTAGCTGTTTGTGCCGGCCAATGGGACCCAGCATCTTTAATCCTAGGCGCTTCCTCACGGGCTTTTAGGAGAAACACTGTTCACCCTGAACTTTTGGACCAATCAGCGGAAGGGAGGGGAGAAAGAGGGAGGGGAGGAGAAAGTGTTCCTTGTAGAGTTTCCTCTCCAGGAGTTTGTTTCTCCATCCAGCTGCCTCAGGTCCGAGCTAGAAAATCCTTTGCATCCTCCCCCACAAATACACAATGTTAAAGTTAAAATTATGACTTTCTACTTGTCACAATTCCTCAGACACATTCTCTTACTTTTAAGCCAAAGCTCTTAATATTATAATTACTTTAGTCATATAATCTAATTACATTGTAAAACTCAGTCATATACTCTAACATAGACAGATTCCTTTCTGGCAATGTTTATCTTTTGTTATTCCTGATTGGCCTATTAACAGCACAAAAGGTGTAAGGATTGCTCTGGTACTTAGAGTTACCAATTCCTGGAGGGAATGGGGATGGCATTTAAAAGGACCCATGAAGAATCCAGATCCCAATGCAGGAAGGATACAACTGACTGCAGGCACATCCTTTCGCAGAAGCACGTGTGCCACAAATGCTCAACAACCAAATAGGCACAAACAGCTAGGGTCCTAATAGCGGAGGTGAGATGGTAGAGGTTAATGGCTGGGGGCAGAAACTTGGGGGCGAAAAAGCGGCAGCAAAGGGTACGAGGAGAACAGTTCCATTCCGCGGCAAGTGGGCCATGGCAAACAGCCCAGGTGAATACCGGATGGATGCTGGGAGGCAGAGGTAGATTTTTTTTCTCTTGTTTTCCTCCCAAAAAGCTAGATGCATCTTATTGTCCAGAATGTCTTATAGTCTGAAAAATACGGTAATATCTTAGAAATTAATCTTGTATAGATTAGTGTTAACTATAAAAAAAAATTTAAGTTAGATTTAATTAGGTTAATTAGATTTATATGACTGCCTATATCACCTGAGGGACTTGGTGAATAACAACAAATAAAAGCACATACAAAATAACAACTAATATAGAAAAGCATCTAAGTAAAAACATCCAGGCCCGGCCACACCTCCAGGCCTGGGAAGCGTCTCAGAAAATGAGCAGAGTTGAGGTCAATCTTCTTATAGTCTTCCTTTCCCCCCAAAAATAATTTTATTAAATATTATAATTACAATAGTAAAAACGAATACAGAGTAAAAGAAAATAGAATAAAAGATGCAAAGAAAAAAAGGAAAGGTGGAAATAATAAAAATTGAACAATATAGTAAAGAAAAAGAAAAGAAACATAAAAAGAAATGATTTCCAACTTTCAATCAAGTATAAACAATTTTAATAATTTTTACTTCCTCTTAAATTACAATGATATTTTCTTCCCATAGCCCATTTCTTATCTATAAAACAAATCCATAAAGCAGCATTATTTTAGTTTTTGTGTCATTAAGGGTTACCAGAAATAATGAATCTATTTTAACCTTGATGAAATAAACCAATGTTATATTCCTTAATCTTTAATGCAGTGGTTTTCAACCTTCCCAATGCCACGACCCTTTCATACAGTTCATGTTGTGGGGTCCCCCAACCATAAAATTGGTGTCTCAGTTCCTAAGACCATCCAAAATATGTGTTTTCCGATGGTCTTAGGTGACCCCTGTGAAAGGGTCATTCGACCCCCAAAGGTGTCCCAACCCATAGGTTGAGAACCACTGCTTTAATGCACTCAAATAACATCATAGAAGATTTCATTTTTTTTGGTCCTTTCAAAACTTTAACATGTCACTTTTGTAAGACCAGTATAATAAAGTTATCCAGGTCCATTCTCTTGGCTTGTTGTTTATATTCAATTTTAATTGTTAAAATATCAGTCAGTTTCCTTTGTATGTGCAGAGCAACATCTTTTTCAGTAATACAGTATAGTTTTCTAGCCTGCCATTTGTAAATCCACTTTCAACTCTGTCTTGTAGGTAAAACTGATTTCTCTTTCGTAATATCTTTTAGACACAGTCTAACTATGGAGGCTTTTGTCATTGTTAATATTAATATTTAGTTCCTTTTTTCAAAAATGTCCAATATTTCCAGTTTTAGAATATTGCATGCTATTCTGTAACACTCAGTCAAGTTTATGTGTTCTTCTTCTTTAACTGAAATCTTTAGTTCCCTCTACTGTCCAATTTTTGAAATGTTATTTTTTTTAAAAAAAAAAATCAAAACAAAACCATTTTGCTACAGGAAAAGTTCTTTATGATTAATTCCAAAATCTTATTTGAAATTTATATTGACCCTTATTCAGCTGTAGTTTTCTAAAATCAAAAATTTTGATCAATCTTTTGCTGTTTTTTTTTTTTTAAATTAAGCTTGTACAGATAGTCCTTGAGGTACAATCCTAATAGGACTTGTCCATTCGGGTCATAAATCTTGTAAATCTGTTGTAAAATGAATCAGACTTATTTTAATGACAGTTTTTTTTACTACACTCGTTAAGCAAATCAACCGGGACATTAAGTGAAGGAAGATCAGATGTGCTGTTTGCTTCCTTGTGTGAAGTGACCTCTGTGATTGTTAAGAGAACCCACAAGGTGGAGAATTTGCAGGGCTCCCCCAGTGGCTCCAGAAGGAACTGCTGCCGTCCACTCATCAGCTATTCTGGCAAGGCGGGTTGGCCCTCTGCCTCCAAACTGCAGCATTTCCATGCAAGTGCTTGGACTTAAAATTGGGGTGGGGGATACATTTTCAGGGCTCCCTTGGAGCCTCCAGAGGGAGCTGCTGCTCCCCACCCATCAGCTGTCCTATAAGCAATTTACAGTAGTACCGTACACGCCAAACCTCTAAGCAAAAGCAAGCAAACGCAGTACAGTAGAATGCACAGAAACTTTCTGGGCTATCTGTAGATAGCCTATGCTTAAGATCAGGGATGATTTAAACTGTTCAAAGTTAGCGTAGCAAGAAGAAGCTAAGATCAATGTAGAG